CGTCTAACCAGCAGAGAAACTCTGTTATATTCAGTGTTTCATGCTTGGGCCATCATAAGCCCTGAACGCATCAGACAATTATATGAAACCTTGCTTCGTAGACTGGCACCTATTAAAAGGTCACGTGGCTATGCCACTAAGTACTAATTTTGGACTTGAAACTGCATATTTTGGTAGAATGTATATTTTGTTCTCATTTTGTGATTTTTTGTGAAATTTGATGTTAATAAAATGATACCAGGAGCATATCATTCCACAGTCATTTATCTCCCCCATAGTATTGGCTCAGTAGGGGTGACACTTCTTTTGTCCAGTGTGTGTATGTTGCTAATGAGTTGTTTTTACTTCAAAGTGTTGACTAAGAATATAACTATTAATGTTTTCAATCATTTATAATCATTAATAAGAGAACTAGCTGTTAAATATATATATATATATATATATATATATATATATATATATATATATATATATATATATATATATATATATATATATATATTAATTGAATTTGTTGATACAATATAACGCTCATGCATTTTCGGTGTACATATAAGTATTTAGTACATTACCAGTAGTGGTTAAAACATGTATTTTGGGTCGGAGGCCTTGTATTCCAGAATAAACATTTCAACGATTACAACAATGTTTTTCTGTTTTAGTTTTCTAGGTACTTATACAGCCGCAAGTATTCACGGTATTTTTTTTCGTAACGGAGTGAGCGTGTGTCTATATTAACCGCGCGCATTTTTGTTACATTGCCAGCTTTCGAAGCATTTGCCTGCAAGTCGACTACCTTAAAATTAGACAGCATGCTTTTTTCTATTTCACCTGTGTCGGGATAAGTGTTGGCTTTCAGGGTTTGGTGTTGACCTGCCGCGGTTCATTTGAAAACTTGTATAACGGTGAAGAGTTGACTCCATTGAAAGTTACTTTCCACATTGCAACGTTCAGTTAAGAATACCTATAGCTACCTAGCCAAGCTGGCTTTTTTTCTGGATAACCTTCTGAACACACCTTCCTCAGCTCTCCAGTTGCGAGATCATCTATTCACCAAGCGCGCGTCTCTCTTCACAGGTCAGTTATTGGCGTCGTGAAAAACACGCAGTGCAACCAGAAAGTTCGAATTCAGTGTTCCTTTGCACTATTAAGCTAAAAGTATATTATATATTTTTTTGTGTTTCAGATTGACAAACAGGACATGAGGTCGGTGATCATCTGGAAGCAGCAGCTGTGTAGGAACACTGCCGACACGCAATCAGACTTAAAACCGCGTTAAGAATTAATCAGAGGTGTGCTTCTTTCCACTGCAATAATCACCGCCTTAATCACCAGCGGTCATCGCGTAAATCAATACTTCACCTAAGAGCTCGTGTAGGGACAGTCATCAACAGAGAACTCACGAATTTATCACAGTAAGAAACGGAAGAACGTTGTGTTAACCGCTGTCGAGATAAGGCTTTTTACAAAAAGCATCACCGAATGACGAAAGCGTCTACGGAAAGACGATAGCGTTCTATTGGGGGGCGGAAACCCTTCACGGCGTCGCCACAGTTTCGTCATGGATTTCTCTGATCTGCTTTTGGCTAACTCTAGTTGCGAGGGGGGAGAATGCGAGTTATTGGCCTTCAACTTCACCCTCGGAGATTCCAGCGACGATTTTGCCAGTCGCCAAATTTCTGCAGAGCAATCACTTGTGTTTAAATACGGGCGTCTATTTTACGCCTATTTCACCCCGGCGATAATAGTCATAGGCCTATGCGGGAACAGTCTCTCTTTCAACGTTTTCATAAGTCGGAGCATGCGCGGTCTGTCTGCAAGCCAGTACCTGGCGGCGCTCTCAATCTCGGACATTCTCGTTCTGGTGGTGTACGTGTTCTTGGACTGGACTACACGTGGCCTTCCGTTCCTCCCACGGAACATCAAACTGGATATTCTGGCTATGAACGGGGTATGCCACATGTTTCTGTACTTTTCATATTCCCTGCGGTTCATATCGGTCTGGCTTATCGTCGCCTTCACCATAGAACGCTACATCGGCGTCTGTCTGCCATTGAAGAAAATCAAGATTTGCAGCCGGGCATATGCACGGCGTACCATTCTAACCTACACGGCTGTTGGCATGGTGATCAGCCTGTACAAGCCTATTTTGAGCGGCGTCTACGCCAAGGAGGAGGTCGGTGTCAAGGTGTGTACCTTTAATCCAGAGTACGAGTTTGTTTCCAACGTCCTGGATGCAGTGTTTGGCCTCGCCATCACTCTGGTGCCGTTCCTTATTATAGCTGTGCTCAATGTCATCATGGTGCACAAACTGCGCATGCGTAGCAAGAGGAATAAGAACGGTATGCGCGTCCACTGCGTGGTGAAGGAGAATAAGCTGAGACTGGAGATGACGCTGATTCTCATCGGCCTTTCTACCTGCTTCATTGCCCTCAACTTGCCTTACTTCGCGGTCTGGTGCTTCAGCAGGTACCAGACACTCAACGGGAGCTCCAACAGCCTCGCCGACCTGGTGACCACGCGAGGAGTCCTTTACATCACGAGGACCATCTTCTACATCAACTACTGCAGCAATTTTTTCCTGTACAGCATCACCGGGGCGTGCTTTCGAAAAGAGCTGCTTGATCTCTTTCGCTACCATCGGCTTCTCAAGCGCAGAAGTTTTGAGCAAGAGACGAGGAAGTATTCCCCGATTTTGAAGCGACCGTCCACGGAGTCGTCGCTGTAATGGTGCTAGCCTGCCGGGAACATTCTCGCCTCGAGGAAAGTCCTTGGAGTATGTGAAAAATGAAAACAGTCGAT